TATTATATTAATTCTAAGAATATAGATTTTTTTTTTGTTGTTGTTAGTGGAAGCTGAGTCCAGGTTTAGAAATACAAACTGCTTTAAACAATAATTTCTTCACACTTTTCAGTCTAAAGAAATTAGATTGGACATTTTGATGTTCTTTTGAATTTTTTGAAAATCAGATTTACTCACTATGGATTTATTTTGTATGAGCAGTGAGAGTCTCTTGCAGCTTTTGTCTCTTTTTCCTATTAAAAAAAAAAAGTTTGCTGAAAAATATCCAACCAAACTTAAAATGTATATACCTACTCAATCCATTTAAGCTGGCACAAGGTATTTTCTTTTAACAACCTATTTGTTTTTATATGTTGTATTTCCAACATCTTAAATCTTTGAGTGAATGGTTACAGAGAGCAAGAGAAGGAAAACTCCCAGGATATTTGAGCAAATACAGACTTGTGATTATCATTCTCCTGTTAAACAAGCCTTTAATATCTTGTGATATGCTTCTCTTATATTTAAGATAAATCTTTATGTCATAAAGAAAATTCATAGAATCCACAATTTATGAAAAAATGCACTTATTTAAATAGGGGTTAAAGACAATTGACTTGCTACCCCTGTTAACAAGTAGAAATGAGGTTATAAAGGGATTTTTTTTTTTTTTGCTATTTATAAATTATAGGCTTGCTACAGAATTAAATGCATGCAAGAAGTGTATTATTTTCTCTGGAAAAAAAGATAATCACTGTGTTTATGCATGCTAATCAGTTAATTTTGTGTGAGAACTACTAAAGACCATTTCCATGTTCAGGTTATTCAAAGCAAATAATAAGAAGCACGGGGATGAGAGGAAAATTTGTGCAATATGTGTTATTTCATGCACTGCATTTTCAAAATAGTCTCTATGGGGAGAAAATTCTTTTGGAAATCTTTGGAAATCTTAAAGTTTAAAGGAAATTGTCTGCTCCTCTCCCCACACCAATATAACATGCTCCAGATGTGTTTGCAGTGTTCACACTGCCAATGAAAGTGATCAAAACCAGCCAGGCCTCTTTCACTTGTCTAACTGCAAGGTGAAATTAATGATTTTTTTGTTTGTTTTTTTGTTTTTTTGTTTTTTTTAAATTTTGGTCTCTGTGGCTAAGGCGAAGAGAAATTGATTATTTTCCAATCACAGCATCCAAAACCCAAATAAAGAGCCTGAAAGCAGCAGTGTGAAGTGTTTAGGTGCAGCAGAGGACAGGGCAGGGGATTTGCTCACCGTTTGTCACAGGAGGTTGGTGACAGGGCAATTGGTGCCCCTTTCCCTGTGGCACACACATCTCAGCATCTGTCACTGTGCTGGGGGGATGAAGCCTCGTGGGGGTTGAAAAAGGCTCTGAGAAGGTAAAGAAACCCTTTTGGAGTGTTGCCTTGAAAGGCCAGTTTTTAATAATGACACAGACACGGTTAAGGGGATAAAAAGGTTTTACCTCAGTATTTGGGATCCCAGGTGCACAACTTGATGGCAGAATGCACACCCATGTACAGCACGGGTACAAGTTTTATAGGTTTCAGGAATTAGCATATCTATCTAGGATTCCCCAATAAGAAACTTAACAAATGCAGTAATGTCTCCCTATTCTAATGAATCCCCCCACCCCAGGATGAGGCCAGAGCCCAGTTTACACAAGATGTTCTGGACAGAAGGCTTCACTCAAGGCTGGAGCCTCAGGTTTAAGATAGCACAGGGCACACTGACTCCTTCCTCAGGATGTTTGGTCTCTCTGCCCAGCAGAACTCCTAAACTAAGCTGGAATATCAAGCTTCAGCAAGCTTAGCATGTGGGCTAAGGGGTACAGGCAGATGTATAGGGGGTACAGAAGTGTAAAGGGAAAAGCAAAAATCATCAGGCATCAGGAGGAGCTGATGGGCAGCAGTGTGTTACCTTCCAGCACTTTGACTCAGTGACCCCAATGTTCCTGCAGAGCTTGGCACCTTTTTGCCCCTCCCTGGGCGAGGAACACCCTGCTGCTGCTGCCACAAATCCTGCMAGGGCCAGAGGAGAGGAGGGGACATGGCCTCTGTCTTCAGGAGCGAGGAGATGAGCCTGAGGCAGCTCTTCCTGCAGGTGGAGGCTGCCTACTGCTGCGTGGCTGAGCTGGGCGAGCTGGGGCTGGTGCAGTTCAGAGATGTGAGTAGAGCCTGCCTGGCATGCTGGGGATGTGCCCTGGGCTGTGCCCATCCTGCCCTCAAAGCCCCTGGCAAAGATAAACCTGCCAAAAAATGCGTGGTGAGAGCGGGGCTTCCCCAAGGCTGGTCTGAAACCCAAACATGGAGACCCAAACCATGCTTTGGACAGCAGAAACCTGTTTACTTTTGTAAAAAAAAAAATCCTCTATATAAATAATTACAATTAAATACAAAAAAACGCCAACTCACAGAGAGCTGTGGTCATAAAAAAAAAAAAATTAAACCCCCCCAAACTTTACCCATTAGTATACATTATGTGCAAATAAAAACTAATTATGAGTTATTTAAGTTCTTATAAAATACAAAGCTTCTTTACAATAAACAACTTTACATCCAGTGCAGTGCTCTCTGCACCACCTCAGGACAATTCCCTCCATCACCAGGGAGCAGGGGGTGTCCCCATGAAGGTCCCCCTGTCACTCCTGCTGTCACCAGGCCACYGAGTCCTTGTCCCCCGAGGATGCCCAGGGTACTGCCCTGCCCTTTTGTCACACTCAGCGGTGTTTGCCATCCACTCCTTCAGCCCCAGGCTTGTTTTCCCTCCTGTTTTTCAGCTGAATGTGAATGTCAGCAGCTTCCAGAGGAAGTTTGTGAATGAAGTGAGAAGGTGTGAATCCTTGGAGAGGATCCTGCGTGAGTAAACGCCTGTCAAACACCATGGGCTCCCTGCCAGCCGGTGGTGTGGGATTTATTTCTTTGAGTGCTCTCACACTGGGGAGCAAAATTAGTGGCAAATTGGTGATGTTTTCATCTGARCCCCTGGAAATATTTTCCATGCCTCGGCTAATTACCGCTTCACCCCGTATAGGCAATAAATTGTTGCCCCTGTTTTGAAAATGGTTGACTGAACTGAAAAGAGGTTAATTAGGTTTTATGAAACAGCAAGGCAAATCTGGGGCTGGGCATGTCTTATTAACAATTGCCCAATTACACCTTCAGGTGATGATGTCAGCCACYCCAAGCTTGCTCCCTCCAATTCATCGCTGTTTACATATTTTGGGGCTCTGAGGCAGTGAARTGTCCTTGGATTTTCYAGTTGAGAGCAATGTTTTGTCTAAAATGCTGAGAACAGAGGGTGTTAGCAGTTCATGAAGCCTAGAACTAGGATACATGAAGAATAGGAATTAAAAATTCTTAAGGCATCATATGCACTGGGATGATGGCCCTTGTAAATCACTCCACCTTCTCACATCTCCCTGGGATACCAGGAGCAAGCAGCTGGTGACCAGGGATGGTTCTGTGCTGACATCTCTGTGCCCTTTCCTTGCAGGTTTTCTGGAAAACGAGATGGAAGAGAACGTTGAGGTAGTGAAAGGTGAAAAGTACCCGGAGACGCCTCTGCCTCGGGAAATGATTGATATGGAGGTACAGGATTGGGGTGGAAATACAGGATTGGGGAGGAGGGCTCTGGACTGTGTCTGTGATGTGCTGGATGAGCCCTGTCCTGCTGGCACAGCTCTCCCTGCCCGAGGAGGTGCTGCCCCAGCTGCTGCCTCACCATTTAGGTTAAAGCTGGCCCTGCTGCATGGTCCTGAAGGAGCCCAGTGTTTTTCCCTTCCTCTCTGGTCCCAAATATWAATGAAAAAGTTTCACTTTCACAGAATGCCCCCCTTATCCTACAGGAGGGAATAAGGAGGGATTTGGTGTTTTGCCCAGAGAGCTGATGTTAGAACCAACTTCACTGCACAAAAACCCAGGGCTGCCTGTCCTGCTGGGAGTGTGGCTGTGATGCTGCGACCTGGCACAATTACCTGGGCCTGGCTTTTGGATCTTTTGGATTTGGGGATGTTTTATCCTGGCCCGGCTGGAAGCCAAGTTCCCTGACAGGGTAATTTTAAAATGCTGCACACGTAGGTGATTGGGAAGGAAAATCAACATTTCCAAGGCTCCAGCTTCACAAGCAAATTGGTTTCCTGGTGTGTTCCAGCCCCGAGTTTTCACCCAATTTTTGGCCTTCAGCTGATGAACCTAAGCTAATGGCTGCATTTTTGGTTGCTTTTGTAGTCAGCAGACTGACAGCCCKTCAGCCTGGGCTCTGAGGTGTCTGTGAGAAACCAGAGACACCCAGCCAGGCTGGGAAACCTCCATTCACCTGCCTCTGCTTTGGTCAAGAGCATCAGAATGCCAGGAGAGGAAAACACCCCCACAGGGAATGTTTGCAATGGAAAAATGGCACGTGGGCTTTGATGGGTGTCTTCCTACAAAAAGTGTTTATTGAAGCATTCATTGAATATTTCTGTATGCTCCCTTAAAAAAAAAAAAAAAAAAAAAAAAAAAAAAAAAAAAAAAACAACAATGTTGTTTGAGGTGTGGTATCAGCTTGGGAAAGGCCATTGATCTGCTTTAGGGTTTTTCTGTGCTTGGACCCCAAATAGACAGTTCTGGAGAAACTGGAGGCCGAGCTGCTGGAAGCCAACCAGAACCAGCAAACACTGAAGCAGAACTTCCTTGAGCTGACGGAGCTCAAACATCTGCTGAAGAAAACCCAGGACTTCTTTGAGGTGAGAGGCCCCTTTGCTCTTCCAACAGAAGTGTGGGAGGTTCTTAAAAATGGCCACTTTCATTTGGTGCATGTTGCTTTGAGAAGYCTTCACCATGAGCCATTATGAGGTTTGTAAAAGCACCTCAGTCCCTTTGGAGTCTTCATTGCTCCATGAGTCAGTGGGGCTCAAAAACTTGGCTCCCAGACCTCTTTGAAAACAACATTTATGCTTTTCCATTGCTAAAATATAGTTTTATTTTTATTGTTTTTCATTTGGTCTGAATCTCCGTGGAAAGCCACCTTTTGGGGATAAAAAGGTTAGGAGAAAAAAGTGAAAACAATTTTCAAACTGGCAATGCTGAAGAGCGTTTTTTAAACCTAATGTTTTCCAGGCAGAAACCAATCTGCCAGATGATTTCTTCAGTGAGGATACATCTGGATTGTTGGAACTGAGGAGCACTCCTGCTGCGGCAGCTGCCAAGCTGGGGTGTGTATYGGGATGGCCTCCAGGCCACTGATTCCAGTGACCCCTTAGTAGGTGTTGACTGAGAATTGTTGTCTAAAGGCATSTCACCTGTGACTACTGAACTCGGGCATCTGGCCACCAGCCTGGTTCTCAGGGATGGGTGTCCAACCACAGCACACAGCAATCCCATTGCAGCCTGATGCTTTCCCAGAAAAGAAAAACAGGAGGGTAAAGATAAACCACMACTTCAGAGTTTCCACCTCCTGCACTCTCTGTGTGACTTTGAGACTCTCCATTCCTCCATTTCTAGCCAGAATTGTCTCTTCTCCTTCATCTGTTGATCTAGAGAAGTTTGGGGTTTTTTTAAGAAAGAACAAGAGGATGAAGTCAGTAGATTGAGACCAAAGCAAGGCTTGAGCAGGGAAGTTTTCCCTGGAAGTGCCTTCAGTCACAGAGCCCTGGCTAGCACAGACTGGAAAACAAGGGATYRGGAAACCRYGTGTGCTRCAGGTCCTAAAGGCTTAGAAGGGGYTTGTGATTTATTTATCTTGTAACTGTGCTCAGATTYACAGCAGGGGTGATAAGGAGGGAGAGGATGATCCCCTTTGAGCGTTTGCTGTGGAGAGCCTGCCGGGGGAACATCTACCTGCGGTACACGGAGATGGACACCCCCATGGAGGACCCTGTGACGGTCAGTACCCACCTGGCTTGGTTTTTCTCTGCTTCTGTGGGCTCTGCAGACACAGCTGGCAGGGCAAGCTGCCTCTGCAGATCTCTCTGGAGGGGAAAAGTGGGGAAGTTTGGGGATGGGGGAAGTTTCTCTGACGTTGCTTTCCCCTTTTGCCGCTATTGAGGTTGTTTGTTTTCCCTGCCAAGATGCAGGTGAGGCCTCACGGGGCAGTTGGATCACAGGGACCACCATGGCAGTGGCCTGTGGCTGTTCCCATCTGGAATTAGCCCTGTGCCTCAGTGGGACTCAGTCCCCTCTGCTCCACATTGCTCCTTCCCCCATAACCCAGAGCTGCTGCCCATGCCTGAATCCTGAAAGAGCATCTGGGGGAAACACTGCTGGTAGGGGGGATAAAAACTGGGGCTGGGGGATAAAAACAACCCAGTGGAGGGGCTGTCAAAAAAACCACACCAACCTTCCTGCATCGACCTGTGGGTGGGTTAAATTCTGCTTGAATTGTGTGTTGCAGAGAGAAGAGGTGAAGAAGAACGTGTTCATCATCTTCTATCAAGGAGAGCAGCTCAAACAAAAAATCAAGAAGATTTGTGACGGGTAAGGCAGGCCACAGTGACTCCCAGGGATGTGTTTGTTTGCTGGCAGCCCATGCTGGCTGAATTTGGAGCTTGAGATCAGATTTCCAGCTCTCCAGCTCTGCAGCCAGCCTCCCTTCCTCTCCTCAGCCCTGCTGCTCCTCACCACGACAGATATCCATCACCTTGGCACTTGGGATTCGAGATCCTAYATTTTCCAAAGTGGCATACAGCTCTTGAGAGTTTCAGTTGCTAGGATTTTAACTTGGGCTATCTAAAAGGGAACTATTGTTTAAGAAGTAGCATTCTTCCCCTGAAAACCAGGGGCCCCARCTTGAGGGCTGGGAACATGGTAATCCTCAACTTGCTCTCAAGCCTGCCTGCATTTCTTCATGAAAAGATGATGCTGTAATTTATTCAACCCTTTCCCAAGGCCTTTGAGCAATATCTGTGTAATCAGAGACAGAGAAATGAAAGCTTCATACAGCCTGACTTGTCTCCACCCCGTTAAGCRTCTTGAAAGGATAATTCAGGTTTGGATATTTTATTACTCTTTCATAACGCTGATGACCGATGAGCTTTGTTGCAGAGTGGATCAGGTTTGGTGAGAGGATCTGCCTGCTGTCACCAAACCCATTGTGGGTATGGCCCCTCAGCCAAAAACCTGAGCAGGGAGAGGGTGAACAATTGCTCTTCCAGACATCTGCACTCAGGGCAGGTCTTCCCTCACATCCTGCCTTTAGTCAGGATAAAAGCAGGTGGATCTTCCATCCAGCTGGCACGACTGACTTCAGCCCCCAGAAATGACAGAACCTTGGGGTCTGCTGGCAATTCCTACACTGGAAATGGGGCAGGGACACCTTCCACTAGACCAGGCTGCTCAAAGCCC